ATAGTTTAAAAATAAAAAAAAAACTTGAAGTTATCGATAGTACAACTGAAAGTTAAATAATAATAGATTGATAATAACGTATTTCGAAAAAAAAACGGATCAACACGGTCCGTCTAAGCGTTTTATTCTTCACAATGGGCTATTATGATATTCTAAACAAAAGAGGCCTGGCACGCGAATTCCTAGTATCGAGATTCCCCGCTCTAAGAATAGTTTTTTTGTCCATTTCTCACGAGGGTATTTCCTTTTTTTCATCGCATTCCACAGATATTTGTGGGGCAAGGCAGGTATACGGCCTACAATAGATGCCTAGCGGATAGATAATACTTAAACTACATATTCTTTAAAAATAGCATATAATTATAAGATACTGTATGGAATTTTTATATACTTTATTATTTTGCCGATGAGTTAAGATTGAAAGGGTTTTTTTTCCGTAATATAATACTCTTAATCGCTCTACCATTTTACTGGAATTCAAGTCTGATTCCATCGAGAAATATTTTTTTATTCATACACTTTAATTTCAAAGGACTGGTTGAATAATTATTTGCTTATAGAAGCAAAAAATTGTTTTATATTAGACTCCGAGTCAAGATATCTGAACGTATAATTACGATATGAATTGTAATATTATATTGAAATGAAACAATCTTTTTTTCTAGTAAATAAATACCTGTTTTAGAGCATAATAGTAATATTCTTTTAGAATTTAGATAATCGATGTAATAGTAGGTTTCCAATCGAAATTCTAATTGCGATAAAAGATTCGATTAGTGTCATTTTATAAAGTTTAAAATGCAATTATCTGTAATGGCCGTTCACAACTTGATAAGCATTTTAAGTGATAGGTTGATTGCTACAAAATATTTACGGAATCCGATAGCGAATGGAGATTTGAAATTGATTTCTAAGTAAAACCAGTAGGTGGAGTTCATTACACGCTGGCGGAGCATAAACATTTAATAAGATTATAATAATTTTGAGAACCGTAACTAATCCTTTCTGATCCGAGTTTTAAATGTTCGGAATTTAGACGTGGCATCTCAAATGAAAACTTTAGAACACACGTTAAAATAAACCTCTAGAGAGATATATTGCCTTGCTATGATTATTCATGAATACGATCGGAGTTAACACTGTTTTTTGCTATACGGTATTCAATTACTGAGCCACTTGCCATGGCTGTCATACAAACTATAAAATATTGTGGTAATAAAAAGTGATTAACACACTGTCGTGTCTGTGCATCTCATGTTCTATGGCGCATTCTTTCTCCGTAACACCGGGAGCGATCGTCGGCTTAGTAATAATATGAACGTAAAAAACGAAAATGTCAGTTTCGAGCGCCCGCGCCTCTGCCCCGGCCTTCTGTCATATATTTTTTTTATATCTTTTTTTATCTTTTTACCATTGCTCGACGCTTCTCATATAATCATGTGTAACGCTAGAGTACATTCAATGCGTATGCAGTACATCAATATGAATACTTCGGTGTAAATAGGAACAGAAAATTGAATTTGTTTGGAAACCGGTTGATTATTTCGTTGTATATAGATAGCGTCAGATGGTGTGACGGTGTTAACGTTGTACTCTCACCCGACGGTCGCGGGTTCGATCCCAGCATGGTTCCACAGACGATGTGCTTGTATAGCTATTGTCTTCTAAGAACATGCGATATAATTAATTGCGTTTGTTCTTAGATCATCTCTTCTATAGAGAATGATCTACGAAGGCAACTTACATTTTTTTTCTTAATTTGAAAAGGAAAAAACTTCGAAACAAAATGTAAGGTTATTTGTCAACTTCCCTCAGCCTATTTTTATTTGTAAACGTGTTCAGATGTCATGTATTCTATCATGTAGTGATAAACACTTTTCTTGTATGCTAATAGTGGCTGTGGGCCGTTGCTTCTAGATTGCTTTGCTATGAACGAATATTTATCATTATGCAAACAGACGTGGCACTCTGAGAATTGTTATTTTTTTATACAAAATCATATTTTATTATTATTACTATTTTTAAGTAAACTAGAAGAATCCGCGGCTTCGCTCGCGCTAAAACTACAAATAAAATTTCTAAAAAGGTAGGTTTCTCAAAGATGTTCATCCCCTATTTTACCCTCTTAGGGGTTGAATTTCGAAAAACGCTGAAATACGTAACTCATTATTTTTGCCATACTCAATTCATACGAAATTTCATGCAAATATGTCCAAGGAATAAAAAGTTTCATACAAACTTTTAACCTCTATTTCACCCCTATGGGGGTTGAATATTGAAAAATCCTTCCTTAGTGAATGCCTACGTCATAAGAGGAATACGTGTGCGAAATTTTAAGTTTCTAGCCCTAAGGGTTTGGCCTGTGCGTTGATACATCAGTCAATAACTTTTGCCTTTTATATATATAAATTATATATTGAATCATTTATAATTCTATCATCCTGATTTTTAGCATAATATTTAGTAGTTTAGTTATGTTCAAAATGGCATGAATAACAAAATAGCTCATACTTCATCTTAAAAACAATAACAAAGTAAAATTCAAAATATAATTTCTATAGTCACCAAATACCACATCTGGCGAGTTAACCAATTGGGAAGCTTCATGTAACAGCCTAAGGGCCGGCAGGCGTGAGGCCAGGAGGAATGTTAATCGCATCCAAACTGCCCGACCGAGCAATAAAAACGATTTAAGTTAGATTTTGGATATGAACTGGAGTTGCTTGAATGTACTCAAAATTTATAAAAAATATCTATATTTTAAAATAAAAATATACATATATTTGTGAGTTGCTTACTTTTTGTAACATGGCTACAAGATAAATAATTATAAAGTTTCAAGAATATAAATGACGTAAAACCATTAAAAATTGTTTTATTCATCAGCTATTATTATTAAGATAGTAAATTTAAAGTAATTATTAGATGCATGTATAATAAATTATATTTTCTTAGTAACAATTGTTTTTATGCAAATTTCTTTCAATTAGGTAAGTAATTTGTTCATGATTAACAAACAAAGAAATCTTTACATATTTATACAATAATAGTACATATTTTATACATTCCTTTATAATAAAATTACGTAAAAATAGTATAAAATAAATATAAATAATATATAAATATAAAAGACGTCATAATTGCTGTAATGTTTATTTAAAACAAATTCTTGACATGACTTACATGGTTGATGGTACTAACACAATGATATTACCTGCTATATTATGGCTATATATAAATGTGTCAGTTATAACGTGGTAATTTACTGCAAGGTTAGTTACGGCATACACATACGATGATTTATACTTATATAAAATTATAATATAGAGTATTTATCTAGATTTTTAATATTAAAGAACTTATAAATTAAAATAAGATAAATATCACTAAGCGCACAAGTTTTATATACTATGTACGTAGATAGTGTATTTTTAATTTTTTAACTCATTAATGCACTTTTGTTTCGTGAAATAGAGCTGTATCTATAGAATTTCAGTGGATTTTTATATTGTTATATAACATTGATCATGAAATAAAAACAATACATTTATTATAAGTGAAAATCTCTACGCCCGTTTCCAGTAGATAGGCAAAGAAAAAAAAAACTAAAATTAGTTCCGTGGGGCTATAAGCGCGAAAGAGAGCGCAATATAGAGGCGTACAGGCAGTTAGAGAGGGTTGGCAGATAGAGTGAGTCGAAATGTAACCGGTCCAGGGGAGGCAGATGTCTTAAACCCCCAAGGCATTACAGATTCCAACAATAAGAAAATTGTAAAAAAGTAATCACGGGACTTTATTATGGAAATTTTACTTAAATATTTTTAAGTTTCATGAACAAAATATTATTTGACAATATTAGTTAAGATTATCGTTTTGTTAGGTACTCTCTATTTCTAGTAGGTCTTCATCGGCATGAAAATTCAACACAGATTTGTGTATTACATTTTACGTTACCTGAATTTCAATCGACGTTTTATAGCAAAAAACCGAACGCTAAGAGTCGAACACAGTGGAATGTAGGCAGCGAGCCAAATTACCTGGCTGTCTGTTCAAACTCGTTAAAGTTGAATGTTATGAATTAAATTATCTTTACAAGTCGACTTATAATTTTTTTTAAACTTTCTGCCCGCGACCGACGCGCATGAACTCCGCTCGTGACGTTTAAAAATGACGCTATAAAGTTACAAGTATGTAACTAAAGAATATAGCCGAGCTGTATATGTTAGCAATTTAAGAAGTCCTATAAAGTAGGATAATCATTGGCATAGTATTGAAAGCAACGTGCACCGTTCTACTTAGGTATGTAAAAAAATAAACATGCCAGCGCATGTGGATCGAGAATTATGCGGTTAGTTAGATAGAAAAAATGCGAACTATTTAGATGTCTGGAGAATGTTTGTGAGAAGGAGCTTAACTGCGATATTGTTACGCATTACAGCCAATGAAAGTCTATTACGTTATGTTTTTTTTAATGTGAAATCCATAAAAGAGTTTTGTTTTATTCGGTTGATAAAATACCGTTCGATCGCTCATTATAGCATATACGGAGTACAGAATTGGCTCAAGACGGGATTGCAAATGCGTGTAAAGGAATTCCGGAACAAAAATGCGCGCGTCTACCTGCAGTCGCACCCGCCAGATGTGCTTGCATCCCGCGCATACCAACATTAAGCCATGTAAATTGTTTACGTGGAAAATCTGAGAAAATCGCACACTAACTGCGCCTAACCGCATCATTGCAATGCGCCGCCATATGAGAAATTGTCAACTTTTTTGCATTCCAAGTTGGCTGGCGCGGCGTCCAGCGTCGCTATTATGACAATCGCAGAAGTCGTTGCAAATAGTGAGGGGCAAGTTTTAATATCGGGGTTCGAAATTAAATTGTGCAGGAATTCGTGGTGAATGATTCGCGTGCGGACACGGGACGAGGTCACGGGGGTCCGTTACGGCGTCGACCGCGTCGGGCTCGAGCTCGCGTTTCGTCGAACTTATTACGACAGATGGCCGCGGCCCGGCGGGAGCGGGCGAGGAGGCCCTTCGGAGAGATCGACCTCCGAAATGCGCCCGAGATTGCATTCTTTCGGCTGCGCGGGCGCATTCCACTGCGCGCCATCCGAGCTCCGCGTCAGTCGACGCGCGCCCTTTTGGGGGTTAAGATGTGTCCGTTGCGGGCGCTCACTATGTGGTCGCAACCGCCTCCCGAACTCGAGTCGACCTTCCGCGCCCGTGCCGCTTCCGTAGGCGCGCACACCTGTGGAGGCTGTTTGAGCACGCGGGATATCGCGAGAATGGTTCGTAAGCCGAGAGAGTTTGGCGTGTGTGTGGACCCCACCTCTACGCAGCCTCCTGGTCTCCGCGTCCGCGACGAACCCCAATATCAAAATTTGGACGAACTTCGGAAGCGTCCCGAGTACGCTAATTTAGACGAGATTAGTCGCGAGTTTGGATATCGCATGTGCCCTGAAGGACAGAACTTAGAGGATGAAGCGATCTATGAAAATATACTATCAGTGCGTCAGATTCGTTCCGCGGAAGTGCGTTTAGTGCCGGTGTCTGAGGTGCCGTACTATGAAGGCCAAGGTTACGTGGCGACGCAAATTCTCAGCAGGAATGGAACCTTCCCGCAATGCCCGCCTCACACTTGGAGTCGGCTACAGCACGCCGGCAGGATGACCGGCTCTTTGAGATTATTCACAGTAAATATAAACATATCTAGAGTAGCAAGCTAGTAGTAACAAAATCATCAATTTTATTTGCTCAAATTATAATAAATATTTTTAAAATCTCATAACTTGCCGGCAAAAATAGCCTGTTAAGTAATATATTTTTGCGCTCCAGACCGGTGATTGTATTAAATTTTGATTTCTTTAAGCAAAACCGGATATGTGTACGAGTGATGAGGTTACTTTTTATGCGCATTCCAAGCAAAAAGTTGTTGCTCAGTATATAATATAATACCGTATTTATGTCGGTCGCAAAAAATAACCGATGGAATTTTGATATAATGATTCGTTAATTTTGGTGGTGACTTGATGAATTTCGTATGTACCTGTGAAGTACTGTGGCCCGGGTTTGCGTACATGTTGTCACATATAAGTGTTTATTTACTTCCGCACATGTAAACTTTACGCCGTAATATGGTTTGATTAAATACTTAAAATCGTACGTCAGGCGATGAAACAAATATAAATATCAAACATTTTTAATTTGCGAATTATAAGTAGTGATCACTCATTTATAGTACGCCACTTATTGCGGGTTTTTTATGTAGAAAATCGTTCGCCGAAAAATGACTGGCGACATTGTTTTAAACAAACATTTATTATAAAAATACTCTAATATATTTTGAAATTTACATTCTTGTTATTTTTGGTCATTTTTATCTTTATGCGGATTTATTATTTCTTAGTTTACTTATCCTACTATTATAAATGTTATCTGTACATGAAAACTATCATGAAAAATTATGTTTAAGTAAATATGTTAAGTATAAGGAAAATGATTCGACCTTTGTGTTATGTAATGCACTAACAAACGTTTGAGCTGTGAAGAATTTTCCATACCTACCATAATAAAATGTTTATAGTACTCAAACAAATAATTTAAATGTCCCTGTTAAATATTTTCTTCATTTCAATTCTATTGTTAATGGCTTTAAAATATGTTGGTTGAGCACAGATTACTTAACCAATGTCACGTAAAATGGAGAGGGTACGAGAGAGAATGGTCGGTAAAATAATTTCTTAATATTCTATTTAATCTAGTCATTCTCAATTGTTTACAGGCAAAGCGGGAGATGTACGATGTCAAAAAACAAAGGTTATGTCTAGCGCAAGATGAATACAAACATCTCAACAATGCCCTATCAACTCTCGCTGCTTCTAGAACAAGCCGTAAGTATTTAAAATACTAGCACCTTACTTTGCTTCGCTCGGGTTCGTCTCTAGTGAAAAACACACGGGTACCATATATTTTTTCGGGACAAAAAGTGACCTGTCTGTTATTCCAGACTGTCTATATCTATCTCTGTGTCCATCCAGATCCGTTCAGTCGTTTTGGAGTGATTGAGTAACAAATATCCATACAAGCTTTCGCATTTATAATATTAAATATCATAATGGGATACTTGAATAATTTACTATTTTTACTTTGCTTTATTCATATTATGTATAATATTATTTCACGTTCGTTCATAGAATATTGCATAGTATTTTAAGGATTTTCATTTGTTTTTAAGATAATAAGTGCGAAAAAGACGAAGCTTTAGCATTATCTCCTACAACTTCCGGTGAGGCCGCTCTAGAGAATTGTTTTGCAGTTAAAAGACCATAAATAAAGCGTGAACAAATAACTTTATGTTATCTTTTCTAATTATTGACATTAAAAGACGATTGTTTTTAAACAAAAACGTGGTAAAAATTTACCTACTAAAAATAAGTTTTAGGACGGATAAAGCAAAGCCAAGAAAGAGTACTAGTATATAATACCAGAGATAGGATATGCGTATAGGTAATGTAAAGAGAAATTCCAAATAGACAGTATTGTCTAGTAAAGTTACGTATCAAGTTTTGGTCCTCCATAATTCTCAATGGCTCGCAGCCGCATTCAATTCCTTATACAACACAATACACTACAATACAATTGAATATACAATTATCCAAGCTCTAAAGGTCATATAGTCTTGAAGCGTGCTTAAATAGAATTTATATTTGCTATTCAAACATATATAGGTATAATGTATATATACACAGTGTTTTAAATTCAACAAAGAAATTTAGGAATTGAAAATGATTCCACAATTTTAAGCCAGACTTAAAATTATTATGAGTTATGATTTCATTACGAATGTATGTATGTATGTTTAGGTATTCGATATAATATTAAAGCACTAGTAATTTTACTTTAATCGTACTCTAACTCCACCCCTTACGTCCGTCAAGAACATTTTATTTTATAATGAAACGACGTATCCCTTATAAATATGTGTCATTACTAATAATTTCTGTCTTAAAATAGAGAATACAGCATAAAACACAGTTGTGTATTATCCTATTTTACTAAAACTCAAAAACGAATAAAAGATCTGAAAAAAATCGAAGACATCACCCGCTAAATATGCTAATTTTTGATATCTTCTTGAATGGGACCCGTTTAATTCAACATTCAGTAAGAGAGGGTCATATTATGCAAATATTACTGTGGTAGAGTCTGAACACGCCTCCACACTAAGCTCAGTAGACATTTACCCGGTATTTATCCTGCACGATAAAATTACTGGATGAAAAGGAAAGACTAACAACAATTTGTTATTTTATAGAGGATCAACTATTTTTATTCATCCGTCATAATAAAACGTTTTTTGTATAATTTAACTCTTAAATAACTGTTATGGCTATGATAATTGTTTATGGTTTTTTAAAAAAAGCATCAAAGTTCAAGAAGCTTATTTAAGTAAAGACTTATTATAATACTTTCTTATAATACTTATTATAAGACTTATTTTTCTTTTATATAATTAGGTTTATGAAATACTAGCAACTCACCCTCGCTTCGCTCGAGTTCGTCCCTACGTTGATTCCCCATACAAACTTTCATCCCCATTTTTACTCCTTTATGGGATATATCCTTCCCAGGGTCTTCAACTATCTTCTTACCAAATTTTATCTAAATCGGTTCAGTAGATTCAGAGATTACCCCTACAACGTTACAAACTCACAAACTTTACCTCTTTATAATATTAGTCTAGATTCGGCTAATTTTTATAGAAATCGTTTTAATGTAAGTATCAATATATTCAATTCAATTTCAATTGAAATAACAAATACGTTCTTACACAGTGTGTTCGTCGACAACATCGGTGACGACGACATCCACAACGTCCCGGCACGATCCTGAACAACTTCGTGTCGAAGTGACTCAAGCCAGAGGCAGAGTCGCCCAGTTGAGGAAAGAGTTGAGGCAGGCGAGGGCTGAAGTAGCGTGTGCAAGACGTGGTGTTGACACCCTCGCTGAGTGAGTACAATGTAGACTTTATTGTATAATTTGTTTTAAGCTTAAATAGGTACCTGGGCCATTGAGCTTTGCTTCGCGTTTTTTTCTAAAGTGGTGTTTTTTCGTTGTTTGTGTAAAAGTGCGTTCTTTTCAAAGAAGTCACATATATAGAAAAACTTAAAAAGCAAACCCTTATTTAAATACAAAATTTGATCCAAATCGTTGGAGCTGTTTCCGCAATAAATTTATATATTTACTTATATTCTAATTTGTTTGTGTTATGTGTAATTTGGAGTTACCTAGCTTCATTCGAGTGATACCTTCCGTAAAGATTAATCTCTCTTTTACTAAAAATAGTGTAGGTTTCTAAAAGCAAAAGAATTTTTAAAGTCGTTTTGATTTCAGAAATTATTCTTTATATTTACGAGACTAACACAAAAATATTACTCTATGTTCAGAAATGCTATAGATATCAGAGAAACATTACATTTAGTAAACGACGTAGAAAACACAAGCAAAAATTTTTTTTATCATATTACTAAAGAAGTTCTGCTTAGACATTAAATCAAAAATCTATTTTCAATTTATGCATCCTATTTGCGTTTTACAAAGAGAACTTTACACTTCTTATTACCAAGCAACATTTTGAAGTCTACGGCAGATTTCAAGATTGACAGCGCCTATTCATAACATTCAATAGATCCGACCTTTGTTCAGTCTCTGTATCTAAGTTATTAATTTAAAAAAAAAACTATTTTGACAGCTTCTTCGAGAACGTGCTAAGATCACGCGCTTTAGATTCTCGGAAAATTCACAGCGTGTTTGACATTCCGATCTACATGTAGATGATTTATATGAGTGTTCTAAGGTCAATGGGGCAATTATGATTGATGATGACGAGGTGTCCGATTTTATTTGAGTTCACCATTGTGTACAGTTATTGATAGCTGGATAAACGGTATTAGAAACTAGATATTCCTTGTCAGATTGGGAAATTATTTACGAGTATATTGTATGCTATTTTAAGGGTAATTTTAAGGTAAAAGTACAAGATTTTCACCCTTTTCGCTGCGTATTTGTAATCGAACTGTTGCCTAAATAGTAAAGATGTCTTCTGTCTTCTAGTCTTCTGCCTATGGCTTTTTACGTAGTAGGCAGTCAGTAAAATATTATAATAAAGTACATGTAATACTATCAAGATAATATTGCAATAGAGAAAATATTTTATGATAATTCTTTTTTATGTTTCAGAGTGGAGCAAAAATTAAGCTCTCAACAAGGATGCTACAACATTACTGAAGCCCAAGCAATAATGACTGAACTGAAAAATGTTCAGAAATCTCTCACTTCGGGAGAAAAGGAAAGGGCAGATCTTATGCAATCGCTGGCAAAGTTAAAAGATGATTTGACAAGGCTGCAATTAGCTGACGCTTCTCCAGATTTATCAACTTTGACCCTTCCCCAAGAAAAACTAAGCACTGCTTCTCAAACTGACCTCTGTGCTGATTTAGTCCCAATCGGCACAAGGTTAGCTGAAATGGCGCGGGTTCGCCTACAATACGATGAAGCCAGAAAGCGGATACAACAAATTCAACAACAACTAGCCGATCTCGAGGATAAAGTCCAACCCGGACAAGCAGAATCTGACAAGGATAGACTACTCTTATTCCAAGAAAAAGAGCAACTATTACGAGAACTAAGAAGTATTACTCCAAGAACGAGGTCTAAACAAGAAATGAGTGATATCCAATCCGAATGTAAGAGATTGGAGCAAGATTTGAAAAATGCTTTCGAAATGTCCAATAAATGTATAGCAGATAGATTGAGGCTACACGAAGAGAAGCAATTGTTGCTGCAACAATTGAAAGATGCGCTAACATCTATGACGACGTTAGAAGGTCAATTGAAAACGTTATCAGCTTCAACTTTATCAGTATCGAGTAGTTCTAGTTTAGGGTCACTTTCCACAGCAAGCAGCAAAGGGTCGTTAAGTTCTGGAATAAGCTTCACAGATATATATGGAGGGCCACAGATAGCGAGTTCCTTCCAAGCGGATAAACCTATTGATATGGTCGATCTTCATAGACGAGTTGAAAGGTTAGATTCATTTTTTTTTTGTTTGTGGGGTCTGTCTCGTAATTTTAGATTACGTGAGAAATCGCGCGTAACCTTTCTTTTATGTAAAATAAACAATATGATAATAGTTCATTAGCTTTTTGCGTTTAATCTTTTATATTTAGATATGCCCATGTAGTTATCAGATAATATCAATTTTCCACATTCCAATCTAAATCAATGCTTCTTAACAGCAATAAAGTGAGCCACATTTTCAGTAGCTTATTAATGCTATAAAATATTTTATTAACAACAAAATTCTGTTAAAATATGTTATCATATTATAAAATTGTCTGTTTTGTTTTTTAAACCTACAAATAGAAATATATTAGGTTTAAGCTAAATCTAAACATACATAACACAGCTACAATACAAACAATTCGTTGCATTAGTGCTTATTTGTTCAAACGACCAATTCTTGTGCTTTTGTTATACTTTACAGTTGAGATTTTTCCTCTATTTTAAAAAGAAAGCTTTATTTCTAAGTTTTATATACAGATAAAGATACAATATATTTTTTGGCTTTATCTAAGTAAAATGTGTATTTAATAACATTAGAATTCTATATTGAAAATATTTCTATATAACGGTATATTGGTCGTTTGGACCAATAAGCACTGAGACGACGAATTGCAACCAACTTAGTTACACAACTTCTAACAAACACCTCTCTCTATTTAGGTTGCTACGAGGAAGTAGTTTCCCTGACAGTGCAACACCAGGCGCCAGCAGTTCACCATCACAACCGTCTCTATCACCACGAAGCAGCTTATCGTCAGCCAGTCCACCACCACCACCACCGTCCTATAATCAGGTACTGTTATTATGGAATATTATAAAAGTAAAGGATCGTATTAAAATTTATCTAGTTTTTAAATCGCGTTTAAGAAGTGGGCAATATTAATACATAAAAATTAATGAAAATTTACACTTACATTTGTTTATTGATTTATATTTTGTTTGCAGGTGGAAAGACAAAGGCGACAGCAACGGGAATTGGAAGAGAAACTAGCTGAGATGAGGATAGGTGTTGCCACTGGTCTGAATGAGATGACAGGCTTATCTACTAGTATGTATTATATATACTATTAACACACATAATATATAAAAAGTATTTCTATCATATTATTTATTTATTTTTTTAAATGATTAATAAAACTAAATATTTATTATTCTTTAGCGTGTGTAATAATAATAATTTTAAAATTAATAAAATATAATAATTACAGCTTATTTATAAACATATCTAAATCAATTTTTCTCTTCCAGTCCCAGTTCAACTCCAAGGCCCCGGCCGACCGTGCGAGCCGTTGTCCCCTATATCAGAGACACCCCCAAAGACATCACCCCCCACCCCGCCCTCGCCGCGCACTCCCTCATCTAGTGGTAAGTAACTGGTTTAATCCCGTTATATTCAGATATCGTTATTTTCAGAACCATAATTGTTTGATTCCAATTTTATAAATCATTAATTACCTATATAGCAGCGTGAACAAGTAGCTTAAAATGAATACAAATGGTTTATTAAGGCTAAATTTAATAAAAACATCCTAACTTATTATTAATTCTTGGACCTACATGTATAACATATACGTACTAACCATGAACGAATTAGAGACTGGACCTGACATAAAATACAAATGTATGAAAACTAGTTCAACCAAGTGACGCATAACGCACACAAAGATTTTATTACATTATTATAAACACTGATACATAATACAATATTTCTAGTGCTTGAACGTAATCGATAAAATACATATATCGATGAACCAATGAATGACATTTTAGACATTGGTTAGCATCCCATCATATTTTACATCTTTTAATTTATTCTTCTTCTTTTAATTTTAATAAATTAAAATAAATGAATTAAAGAGGCAATAATAATGTGTCAAATAATAATTATTTTTTAATTTGATTTATAAAAATACGATGGCCTATAATAATGTTAATGAACAAATGAATATCGGGTGTATATTCCATTAATATATAATAAATATTATATTGTAAAGATTAAAAAAATATTAAGCTAATTTAATTAAATAAAGTGATTTTGTTGATTCTGTTATTGAACTATTTTAATTGGCAATTGATTGTCTCGGGTAGTTAAAAAATGTGACACTGTCCTACTATTGCTCAGTTTTTAATAAACATTTGTGAAATTAGGAAAAAGAAAAAGAGATTGCAAATTAAAGTGAGTGTTGGATCGTGAAAGTAAAATAATTAGTGCAAGTGGTAAAGTGTTTTATTACAAATCGCCAACCCAGAAGTTTAGTGCTAAAACATTATTGTTTGATTTTGTGTAATTTATGTGTTGAAATAAAATGATCTTTATTATTATTACAATGGAATAATATTCCAAAGTATATAAATGTGGAATAAAATAAAATAAAAAATTAAGTACACATACTAATTATAATTTTTGCATTTATATTTTTATTTGATTTAGGAAATATTTTTATAAATTTATTGTCATCAGATTGTAGGATACTGTGGTAAAAGTATTTTATGTTATTGTACTGTACAAATAACACAATTCGTTTAGTAATTTCGTCAAATATCGATATATTTTTCGACATTGTCAAGCACTAGTCGATGTCAAATGGACTCACTCGACAGTTTAGTCATTTGTTCTGATTGGTATAATCCAGGGATTTTATGATGGTTGTCAGATGTCAACAATACATAAAAATATCGACTATATTTAACATAGTTGGATAATATGACATTTTATTTTACATTTAATTAAATTGTGTGATAAATAACAATAAATGTAATAAAATAATGTATTTACAAGTGAAAAGAAATACTGCTGCTTCCGCCGTTATAGTTTTTACATCATTTAACAGAACATTTAGTCATTTTTGGGAGATGTTTTGTTGACAAATAAGTGCTTGAGACTGACGCAAAAAACAAACGACCAAGCCTAAAATCTCCTGGTTACTGAGAAGACCGATAAAGGTACGTCCGCTTATATGTCTAGTCCAGTGGGTAATTCGTTCATGGTACTAACATAATATTATATATACATAGTTTTTCTTAAATAGTAATTTTTATTATTAAAGTCGCCATATTATAATAATTAAAATCCATTCCCCTTTCAAGGTACAAACACTAGATCAGTATCGGCAGCAGTAAGCGATGAGTCCGTGGCGGGTGACTCCGGTGTCTTCGAGGCGGCACAAACTGGCGATACTTCTAATGCCGGTTTGTTTATTATTATTATTTTTTTAGTTACATATTTGGGGTCTACAAACAGTGTTCACAATAAGGCTTGTATCTAAACGATTAATATCATTAAATAACTAATTATGACAACAGCATCGTTGACCACAGGTAACTAACTGGTCTTGAGAAGTGGTAAATGTATTTAGTATTCAGTACAAATAAAAATAAAACATTAAACGTACAAAAGAAAAATAGAAAAATAATACAATAATATAATTAATTGTTAGTGAAAATTGCATATTATATTAATTATTTGTTTTTTTTTTCATTTATTTCTTTTTGTTTCATTATATATTTTGTACTTACTAGCTTATGTCACCCGGCTTCTTTCGTGTTGTAGGTGCGTAAAAAGTTGTAGTCTTAATGTCGAAGTGAAGGAAAATAGGGTGCTTCCTAGATGTCTTTTTGGCATAGGTACATTTTATTGCTTTATTTTAAATGTTTAGGCAGCCTAATAAACTAACTCGATAGGTTTTTAATCTTTAAAAGTTTCGTGTTTTTTGACAGAACTCGACAGTGATGCAGCTTTCTATTAATGAAAGAATTTTTAGTATCGGATCAGTGGTTTAAGATATTACACTTACATCCTTTACAAATTGTTCCTTATAATATTAGTAGTATAAGGTTTCCCATTTCCGAATTTTCCTCAAAGCTGTTAAGCCGTTACAGTGTCAAGAACAAACACACATACACACAATCTTTACTATTTATAATGATTATAATTTTCCTTGTTACAGTGAACAGTGCGCAAATTGAAATCAAATTGCGCTACTGTTCCGACGAGAGCGCGCTCGAGATCGGCATACTCAGGGCGAGGAATTTACACGCCTTATACATTGATATGGGGACTGAAGTGTAAGTTTTAAATTGTAATTACTACAATTATTGTTAAAAAAATACTGATATGAAAAATAAATGTAAATTTTTAACTATTTATTTAGATTTACCATAATATTGATGTTTTTTAGTATTATTTTATCTTTACCTACTCAAAGGTGGTCTGGATGAAATTTCTAATTTCAATTTTTTTTTATTATATAAATATTTGTAGTGTACAAAGTTAATAAAGTTTGAGATAGATTGACTTTTAAAGTTGAATTTCACAAGCAAATATTTTATAAACTATATTAAATAAACAATTAAAAATATATTTAACATTGGATATACAATATCTTCTTCAATAATCAATATAAGCAAACACAATCTTATACAAAATAACCAACGATACAAATATATCCAGATCCGTACGAGGCGCGCTCGTCATAGGCGGTGGTGGCGGCGTCGCTTTCAGCAGTCCAGCGCTGCCGTGGCGCGGCGTGACGCTTCTATGGAGGAAAACGCAACGTGCTGCGTTAAGCGCTAAAGCGCTTAGAGCGGCTACATTACAGATCAACCTCTCTGCGGGCGCTGAATGCCTGGTAAGTCTACATTAATTTAAGCATTCCGCAAAAGTAAATCTTATTATGTATATCTTCTATCTACGTGACAACACGTTTGGCTCAGTTGGTAGTGACCCTACTTGCTGTGCCAGCGGTCGCGGGTTCGAGTCCCGCTGGGGGGCATTCATTTGCGTGATGAGCACGAATCTCGAGTACTCCAGTCATGGGTGTTGTTTACACTTATAATATGTATGTATTTAAAGTTATATATGTGTAGTGTATCAACTATCTGGTATCCATAACACCAGTCTCGTAGCTTATCATGGAACTAGATGGTGCAGTGTGTTAAAGTTTGAATCAACTTGTTACAGCCGTTTTCGAGATACACGAATTAATTTATGTATCCAAGAATTGCTTATTTAATATTATAAGATAATAAATGATGATAAAAAGCCAAATTCGAGTATTCGGCGTAAGCCTCGAGTGCCATGTGAAGAATTTAGGGCGAGAGCGATTTACTACTGATTTTCCGCCATTTTAATAAAAAAACTACTATTTTTACCACAACAATTAACCCTATTAATTATTTTCAGGGTTGTACTCAAGTAAGTTTGGCGGATTTCGATCCAGATACCGTATCCCAGAAGTGGTATAATGTGCTGAGTTTTAGAAGTATGAGACGAGATGAAAGTTCGGACGAGTCGACTGTTATATCCTCGCAAACGTCTACTCTCACTAGGAATAGAGGTGAGATTTGCTGCGTTTTGTGAAATTTTGCTGAGTTTTAATATTATGTACATTATTTTGTATTGGCAAATTTCCTTTAAAAGTTTTCACCATAAATAATATTTCTTATTTTTTAAGTTTTTTTTTTTGCATTTTTAATCTTGATGATATAATCAATAGAATATATAAGTATATTAAAGTTTATTTATTTTTCTTACTAATTTAGGTCCAGAGAGCATGACTGGAGCGGACTGTAACGACTGCGAAAACTCAGCGTCCGAAGATGAGGAATCTAGGGAACCACTTAATCAGGTATTTAAGTCAGTCAGTTACTTTTTTTATATATATAATTCTTCTGTATGTGTGTATATCACTAAACTGATAAACTGCTGGACCGGTTATGATTAATTTTTTATATGTTTGTCTTATAGTACGTGTTTTTATGTTCAAATCAATTATGTCACCTAAACGTAGAGCCAACGTTCGGGAAGTACAACGTCCATCTAATCTGCTAGTAATCTTTCAAATGTATACTCAAACAAAAATAAAAAGGCACAGATTACTTGGTATTTTAATTTATTTTTTAATTTGGTAGGAAGATAATTTGAGACGCTGGGAAGGACATAAGATAGTTTTTATCCCTGAAATCAGCTCTTAAAGCGTTGGGAATAGAGATGAAAGTTTGTATGGCGAAGAATAGTAAAATTAATTTTACTCAATACAGTATTCAATTGTTTTTAAACAGATAGTGGAAGAAGATTCGTTCGAGGACTACATTCCTGAAGACATAGTGTTAGAAGATGAGTACCTCCATACAACCACCGCTGAAAAGGAGACCAACACTGAATGTAACTTCTGTCCTGAAGGCAGGCAGCTGCACAGACGGTGAGATGTGATGTTTATTGTTATATAGAATATGTAAATAATGTTATATACTACATAGGTGTAACTTATTTTTTATAGGTTATAACATTACAATGTTCTTTCTTTTATGAAATCCAACGTCTTAAATATGTCAATATTAAATATTTTATTGAAAATATAAATATTAAAATTATATATTTTTTACTTATTATTTTGTATAATTACACAAAATACATAAATATTCATGAAAAATAATTTAAAAGAGACCATACAATCAGAAATATTATTGAATGGTAGAAAATATGATATTTCCTTACTTCAGATACTTAATGAGGCGGGAGGCTGATGGAAAGCCTCATGAGGATATGACTCTAGAGATATAGTTATAACCGTCCATACATATATCTGTACATATTGTAACGTAGGTATGTCCATATTGTGTGTTCGCTTGTTGCCTGGTGTGCAATGATGTTGAAGAAAAAAAAACAAATTAATAAAGTTGTTCACGTATTACAAATTATTAATCTTTTGAAATAGGTACCTAATACTTATTTCTTTTGCGTTCAGTCATGTTTTAAAAAATATAAAAATTATTAATTTTTAGACCATATCAAGATTATTGATTTTGAGTAAAAAAACCTGTATAGTAAATCAACATTTAATAAATTAAATTATAGCATTCAATATAATTAAAACTGACATTCTTACAACACATCTGCTCATAGTCAAGAAGACTGATGCAAGATCAAGAAAAAAAATATAACAGACGTACATAGAACCTTCTTCTTTTTTGAAGTCGGTTAAAAAGAAAATTCCACGTGTATTAAAATAACTAATTTTAATACAATAATTGCATGGCAACTGAGTGCAGCATGGCATGATATGTGGCACAACGTGATTGTTTATACGTATATCACATAAAATATACTAAACCGTCGCATGATTAAAAAAAATCGATGTTTTCACTATAATATTAATTTGTGTTCGAAACCAATTTTATATTGTAAAATTAAAATAATAACTGGTTTTTATTCTTAATTTATTATTCATTTGAAATTTTATTTCTTACAGGAAAAGTCAACAAGTAAGCTCAAACCCAGAAGAGTCGCTCGCGACTATAAAAAGATCTCAGACATTCTCGCCACAACCTCAGAGTATCGGCAAAGGGCAATACATTTGCAGGTAAGCTTCATTTAAAAAAACAATATTATTAATATAAATAATATAAAAAATAGTATATTATAACGTATTAAATAAAAAAAATAACAACAATCAACTGAAATAAAAAAAATTGTTTAAAAACCATCTAAGTATATCTGTCAAAAAGTTTTATTTATCTGTCCCCTTAAGTACAGGTAATATGAAATTGTACAGTTTTAATTTATTCATATTCATATACCGTATGTCTAATAACAAATCTTATTCTTTTTTAAATAAAATCTTATATTAAAAATTAAATTTCACATATAATTGTATAGATAATGTATTATTTGCATTTATTTCAGGCTAAATCGTTCAGAATCTGATTCATCAATGGCACAGTACGCGCGCAGAGTGACGTTGCAGCCGCCGCCCGTCGGCATCCCCTTCGATAGAAGCGTTAGGGAGAGACGATCTTTGAGGTATATATAATTGATATTTATTTTAATAAAAAAATATAAAAAATAAATCTATAATTTTTTTTTAAATATAGTAAGCGTTTTTTTTTAATATTTTTAGCCAACGTCTAAAATTGAACATCATTTTTTTACATTCAATTTTACACTTTTACACATTTTGAAATAAATAATTAAAAAAATATTCTTCATCAGATGGGGTCGTGTACGAGGCGGTGCGGCTCGCAAAGTAACGTCTAGGTCTAAATCAGCCAGAACTAGTCTAGACTTATCCCTGGACTTGCACGCGCAACACTCTCGCCTCGCAGACTTGCGCCAGGAGATCGCCCATCTCACACAATTGAAGAAACGGTATGTTAGCCATAGTCTTAAGTTTTTATGGTCACTGACGATGTCTATATTGTAAGAAAACGGATTATTTATCTACTTTTATGGTTGCGTACCCGAAAGGTGTCAATGGAACCTAAGTCAGCCTCCACTGTCCGTCCGTCTGTCAGAGGGCTGTATCTCATGTACCGTAATAGGTAGAGAGTTGAAATTTTCACAGAGTACATACATATTTATATTGCCGCTATAACAAAAAATAAATAAAAATACAAGAAACATTTTATAACGTTTGTAATCGATCGTCGAAGTAAAGGTAATAAATATTATATAGAGTAAAAGTCATATTAATAAAAAGTACATGTACGATGGTACGGGACCCTTCGTGTGCGAATTCGACTCGCACTTGACCGATTTTTTAATGAGTTACGTTCTCAAATGATACTTATAAGCGCAGTGAAAAGCATTGCATTTTAATTTATATAGTTAAAAATAATAAAATCATCTAAAAAATTTTTTTTTCGTACAAACAATCTAAGAGCCAACATACAACAGTTTCTTAAAGTATTCGTAATATTCTCAATAACGTAAAGTGCCCCATGCCTATGCAGTATTTTTGCATTATTTTTCGGTTATTTACTAAGCTCACTTAAAAAGTGTTCAAACATAACAAGATAGAAAATCTAGACTTGATTTCTAATTAAGTTTTATTGACCCAACAGCTTAGAAGAAGCATGCTCCCGCGGCGACTCGACTTTAGCTGCATGGGTAGCCGAAGACGAGACCCTCAGGCGACTGATAGCAGCTCCCATAGAATCGAAGGACCGTGTTTCTAGATTGTTCCATCGGACTTGCAGAGAGATATATCGCCTGAGGAAGTCTAGACAGGGTGGACGGAAACCTGATTTGGTGACGTTCAAGTAAGTAGCAGTATAGGCCATAGATTATGGTAACAACTTACGTCGTCTCAGTGATTATATTTGTCCAAACCACCAGTAGAATTATTGATTTTTAAGTACTAATTCTTCTTAGTATAAAATACATATTTTACTTAAAAAAGCCAAAAAATATATATTTTATTTACATATGTCTATAAATCTTAATTTTTAAGTAAAAACCTTACTTTAAACTATAAAGTACATCAAGTATTCATCGTTTGCACAAATAAGCGATAAAACGATGATGAAAATAAAGATTATTTGTCATTTGTTATTATAATAAATAATAATAAATTAATTTTCCACAGAGAAAAAATGGCATTCTTCACACGAACCAAACAAATACCAGTTCTGCCAGATGAGGAAGGTGAACTATCAGACGAATGGGAAGAGTTGGAAGAGAGAAGAACACCCGACGGAAGATCTTCCAAAACTTCCTATGAAAGACGAGAACAGAATCAAGAGAACCAAGTAATAGAATGCAAGAATCCATGTATACCGGAGCCGTGCTATGAGAATGAAAATGATGATGTGAAGACTGAAGAAGTTATGTATGATTTTGTTGTAGATAGAGTATTGGGTGTTCAGGTTTGAATGTAAGGATTGGATGAATAATACAATTTTGAATTTGATTTATACCGAAATATTTAAGCAAATTCATAAAATTATTGATTGCCTATATGTTATTATAGCAGTTAATGTATACATTTTTATATATATATGAATCAAAATTTGAATCTTTTTTGGTTTCTTTTGGTGGTGTATTTTGGAGTGACCGAATTGGCAATTTTTTTTATTATAAAACAATATATTGATGATCTTATCTAATTAAACAATTTCATTTAAAAAAAAAATAAGTTCACTTTGTATTCAAAATATATTTATAGCATATAAAAACTGTTCGGATATTGACATTTTAAATATTAATTTAAAACCTAATTTATGTTTTGAAATTTCACTTATAAAGTTAGTTATTTAACATTTTGTTGAAACATGTATTTTAGATTTTTTTTTATATAAAAATCATTCAATTTTCATCTAATCCATGTTTGGTAATGCTTAGATATAAGATAGTTATATGAGAGATGAACAGAATCTATGGCTGAAATCTGAATGTTTTGTATCAGAGAGTGGATTTAGGACATTGAATTGTTAAGAATTTTCTAATTATGATATTTATAATACCTTATATATTAAAATTCTATAGTATTATATAATACAATAGTGCAATGCTTTTATTACACAAAATGAATATTGCTCTTATTGGTTGTCCATAGTAATATTATAAATATCATACTCAGAAATAGTATAAAGGACTAAGAAAAAATGGCACCATAATAAATAAATTCAATTATTTACTGTGATCGCTACTGCCTTTTGAGATTCATAGATTGAAGACTGAAATGAAATAATTATGTATTTATCGAAATATATTCAACATGTACGTACGTGCAAACGGGGTGCCATATGAAATCAGTAGCAAAAATACGGATTTTTCATGTATATTATTATATATTTATGTACAAAAATTGTGCCTTTTTCGGTGCCTTGTGTCGTGCCATAGCGGGCAAGAAACATCTGTGTACAAAGTAGTGTATGGAAAAAGTCACAAAAAAATGCCAAACTTGTTTTTATATAATAATAAAGGTGTACATACGTAAAGACCCACCGGGCTAGTGCGGTTATATATATAATGGTTTCCACCGAATAAACGACTTGATAGGCCAAAAACGCTTTGTAAATACGGCTTCGAGTGAACTGTGGGTCACATTACTTTGAAATATAGGTAGTATAGGTACATAGTTCATAAACACCGGGCACGTAAAATTGAGATTTGACATACGTCATTGTGACATTTGTTATGATATTGACATTGTCATTTAATAATATAGATAAAAAATATTTCTAGTATTTTTTTTTAAATATACTACTTCAGGGATTATTAAGCGTGGCTCACATCTACTAAATATATAATATCTTAGGATAAGAGATTTATCCACATTGGTAACAATGTTGGTATTTTTTATATTAAATTATATTTTTTTATAATAGATTATATATTCCAGTGTGTTAAAAGCATAAAATCATCTAAGCTTCTGTTTTAATTTATGTAAAAATAATGACTTTCTCACGTTACTGGTTTTGTTTCCAATGTTGGATATTTTTTGTAATTCCGTATAAAATTGACCATTTGATCTGAAACGATACTGATGGCAGACATCTCAATATTTCGACCTCGTACGTAAGATGTGAATTAGGTTAATTGTAAATTTTGTAAATCATGTACATAATACGAGATTAAATCTGCATTCTTATTTTTACTTTACAATTTATTACTAGAATAAGTTTTATAAGAACGCAATAGTTGTAGGTAGTTTGCAATAAGTAATGTTACATTATTGTAAAAAATGTATATTTTATATGCCTTTATGTGAAGTTTATACATAGTTTTGTAATTGTTACGAGGTGAACTTTGATTTGCCAAATTAATTTAATGTTTTAATTCTTCCATAAAAAAGGGATTATATTTTGTAAAGATGCCAATACCGATGATAGAAGGTTGATATTAATAAAAAGTGAAAATAAAAATCATAAATCAATTAACAAATTGTTTAATTTTATTCTCATATCTATTCATTATAGTGAATCAGCTTTATTTTAAATAAAATTAATTTTAATTTCCATTTTATTATAATTTATGTCTAGTATGCAAATCAAAAGTTTATTTTTATTTATAAAATATTACACCATTCCTAATTATGGTAAGAAATAATTATGTGTTTTAAGTAACATTTAAAAAACATATTTTTACTGGTTATTTGGGTTATTGAACATTATTGCAGTATTCGTTATGCTAATAATGATACAGATTATGGTAAAATAAAATTATGTAATGATAATGCTTTAAATAATATACCTTTAAATGTAAAATAATTAAATATGTTGGGACATTAACACATAGCACCATCTAATTCCATGGTAAGCTACGAGGCTTTTGTTAAGGATACCAGATAGTTGATACACTACACATATTATATAGTTTTAAATACATACATATTATAAATATAAACACCCATGACTGGAGTAGGCACATTCGTGCTTATCACACAAATGAATGCCCCCAGCGGGACTCGAACCCGCGACCGCTGGCACAGCCAAATTTCTACAAGTTAAAACTATAAAATGTACTTTAAATCATCGATGTAAAAAATATGCATACCGATATGTAATATCTAAGTGGAACATGCTTAGAATCTATCCAGTGGTTTTCTTGTGATGTGTTCTCAGACAGACAGACAGACAAAAAATCTAAAAATTATAGATTCGGCCTCTTTATCGATAATAACTCGGTTAGAATTTAATTATATATGTAGATAGATATAAGAAAACATTTCTTATGTTTGGTCTAAGAGATCTTTTAAACTTCGTGTAAGAAAAATGGAAGAAAAATATTATTTACAGTTCAAAGCTCCGTTATTTAGGTATCCACTGGTGAACAAAGTGCTATATGTAGCTGTAATACATATATTGAAACTATTTATAAATTATGGGTGATCTTGATCTAGTGGCCAGCATGTAGCACGTACTAGCAGATCTGGAGGTCTTGGGTTCGAAGCACTAAGTATCGGTTAAGTATAGTTATTGGTTTTTTTAAATAAAATATACAGATGGTCGCGTTTCCGATCTTGAACATAGTAGGAATGGTATTATAAATAGGCAAGTTTTAATATCCTTTGAGAGTTCAATCGCTGTCTTTTTCGCACTTCCTTTGACATATATATGTACGTATATATTTTATGATATATATATTTATATATTTATATCAGAGAAATTTAGTAAACACATAATATGTGTCTCATGGGTGATGGGATGTGTTTAAACTATTCTGGTGAGCTCGCAAAGAAATAAAATGTACAGCATGCGGGATCTATTGGGTGTAATTAGTGGTTTGCTATTACAAATACCTACTCTGTAAAGTACTCATATGGCGATTGCCGCCACGCATTTACGAGAAATCCCATCGTTGCGAAATTTTAAATATTTCAATAAAATGCGGCTTCGACATTAAAACACCATTTGCAGTAACATGGTAGAAACTTTAAATACCTATTTTAAACATGAGTATGAAGTCGTAGATTGCTAAGGGTCATTGTGAAGTACCTACTAATTATTAATTATATCTTAACCTAATCTCATGAACGAAGTGGCTAATTCGTTCTTGCCTAATCTATACTAATATTATAAAGAGGTAAAGTTTGTGAGCTTGTGACGCTGTAGGGGGTAATCTCTGGATCTACTAAACCGATTTAGATGAAATTTGCTAAGAAAATAGTTTGAAACCCTGGGGAGGACTTAGGTACATACTTTTTATACTGGAAATCATCCTTTAAGAGGATGAAAATGGGGATGAAAGTTTGCAATGGGAGCCAACCTAGGGACGAACCCGAGCGAAGCGAGGGTGAGTCACTAATATAAAATAACTTCGACGCTAAATTCAAAATATATATTTTATATAAAATTAATAGGTAGGGTATTTCTAGTAGCTACTAAACTATATTGCTCATAGATGGCCAAAATGTTATTTAAAAAAAATATATTTTGAATTCCAATACGAAGGATATCAGAATTCCATTACCACTGGCGAACGTAATGGGATTGAGCAAAATGAGAAAAAAATAAGTGGATAATTCGGCCTCTAACATTTTAATTAAATAAAATGCAATCTTATTGCCAGATAATTGGTTAATACTTGCAACTAGTAGTAAGCCTTTAGTCCTTATATAAACATAATTTAATATGTAATCATATTCAATAAAATCCTTTTGTTGCCGCTTTTGATACTAGTTTTAAGGACGATGTGATGTCAATTAAGATAGTGGTAAACTTTCTTCATAAGTCCTTTCTTCATAAGTTTTTAAATTTTTAGTGACGAGCACACTTCAGTGTTCTTACATATTATATTTGTATAGAGTATACGTATATTATAACTAGTGCTTAGCTCAGAAGCGTCCTTGAATGCATCTTTTGACGAATGATGATGATGAATTGATGATGATGATTAGAATTTTTCATTATTCACTATTGTTATGTGTTCAGTGTTAGTCCAGATTTATCTGTGTACTTGATTTCAATGTTAAAGAGTAACAAACATCCACATATAAAAACTTGTATATTACAAATACATAGGTAATATGCATAGGTATATAGAACAGTATAGGTCTAACAGTAGGTACCTACAACGAATATTTTTAAAAATTCCAATGTTATTTTTCAGCAAGCGAACTCTAATTGCTTCCAATATTTCACCTGCCTCGGCATAGCAGTCGAATTTCTTGCATAAGGCGTTATACAATGCTAATGACGCGGCTCCTCACGCGAAGGGTCTCGTAATCTACCATCGCCTGCTACACTAAGTCTTTATGATCCATTTAACATAATATGGTGCGTTCATTTAATATAAGAAAAAAAAACTTAAAAAGAACCGACTTCCAGGCATTAAAATAAAAAATAACCAAACGGGAGTTTTCATTTAAAATAGATATCTAATCATTTTTGAACATCGACATTTTCGAAGTCGGTGCCAGCCGTAA